GCAGATTACCTGCAAACTGCTTGAATTGCTTTTTCCTCTGTCTCTCTCTAATCCAATTACAGTCTCTTGGCTGCTGAGTTTGAATCTTCTGTACATCTCCTGGCCCTTCACTAACCTGCAGTGCCATAAGTAGGAAAAAAAGTCTAAGAATTCAGCTTTACATTCCATGCCTTCTAAAATGTCTACCAAGCAGACCATTTGACTAAGAGGTGGCCTTTTGACATTTATCTTGCATACTCAGGGATTCAGAATGCTAACTATTAAGATTAGAAAAGCTCAAAAAGTATGGTGCACATTTTGGGAGCTCTCAATTTGCCCATTTTTCACAGCTTCACACTTAAATCTTCCACTGTTGTCAGCATTAGAAGCACCACCTAAATATTCAAAGCAACTTGTTCACACTGTTGGTAACAGTAAACACAGTACATTCATAGCCATTTTTCAATCCCTAGTGCTAAGAGCCAATGCCAGCATAAGACTTAGCTGTGTTTAACCATAAGCTTCCTTTCCCATCATATCCCTTCTACACTATATAATATACTCCCATCTTAACTTATCCCAAATGTGGCAGGAAGCCTCACTGAGCCGAATGGACTTGACTAGGATTGAGCACAGGATTACCCTGCACATATTATATTTACAAAATTACAATTCTACAAATTAATAAGTGGTTCTCTTTAGCCACGTATGAAACCAGGAACTGGAGCTGATCTCAAATGGTGATCAAACAGGAAGCTCACTTTAGCAGCAGTTAACATCAGAGATGATGCAAACCAAGGCCAACTACAGAAGAATAAGGGAGCTTCATATTGTCCAAGAGAAGGTGACACCAGGACACATGGAACTGATTTGTCAGGGCAGTTATCTTACAGATAGAGAGATTTTTGCTTACAGTTCTAGATGTTAAGCAGATCATCTGATTCAAGTTCTTCATCATGTATCTACCCAGTACCCCACTTGGGAGCAAAATACATGACTATCATATCTGCACCATATTATTCTTATTGCATGTTACCCTTTCAGTCACTCTATGATGTGAGAACGCACTATAACAGGATGGATATAGGTGGCATCAGTATCATTTGAACAGAAAGCAGTATTACTTTCATGTGAAGATCCTCCAACAGAGGAAAGACCTTTATGAAAGGGAAGAAATCTCTTCAGCTTTCATTTCAATACCAACTTACTCTATTAGCACTTTCTGAATGATGATGCAGAATGCAGTTTTATGACAAAACTGCACTCTTTGGAATTTCTGGATCCTGCCATGCAGTTGGTGGCTCAGAAATATGTACAGGGAGATTCATTTTAGGGGGAAATTTGCACAAAAAACAAATTAGATAACACCGCTTTCAAAAATTGTGATATTCAGGAAAGATGCACACAATAATATGTGCATATTAGGTGGTATGCAGAAAAAGCCACATTTGTTTTAGTGTTTGTTTTTTTCAAAAGCTCCACATGGCAATCTTTTGAAAATGCCAATAGTGATATCTTCCATTGTTCCCTTTACTGCAGATTGTATGCGTTATGAACAAATTGATAGCATAAGAAGAATAAGGTGGTGCAGATCTTTAAAGGGGTGCTTCCCATTATTTTGGGAAGACAATACAGGTGGTCCACACTTATTGACAATGACCAGGACTGGCAACTCTGTCACTAAGCCACGCAGTTGGAAAATGAAACATCATGTGACTGTGCCCAACTTACAATATCAGTTTGTCAGTTCCAGCTGCAGTTGTTAAGCAAATCATTTATGGTCATTGAGTGCAATGTCACATGACCATAACTTGCAACTTCCCGTCAGCTCCCCCATTGATTTTGCATGTCAGAAGCCAGCTGTGAAGGTTGCAAATGGCAATCACATGACCATGGGACACTGCAACCATTGTAAATGCATGCCAGTTGCCAAGTGCCCGAATTGCAATTGCATGTCCATGAGGATGCTGCAATGGCTGCAACTTGGACTAGTTGTAAGTCTCCTCATTCAGTGCTGTTGTAACTTTGAACCATTGCTGAATGAGCAGTCGATAAGCGAGGACTACCTATAATGGCTTGTAAAACTAGGAAGGAGCCTTCCTCTTCTTTTCCTATGGCACAAACTTGCACAAACTCCCCATCCCCAGCTTTAGCTTCTGGACAGGTTGTTACAGAATTAGTAGGTAAAGCTTCAAGCAAGAAATTATTTACTCCACCTCACCAGATGGGAACTCTAGTAGGCCCCCTGATTGTGATGGGAGAAATACAGGCAGTTATGTTTACACCAAAAATTCTAACTGATGCTATTCTTCACAAAAGAGCCAGTTTGGTCCAGTGGTTAAGGCTCCAGGCTATAAAGCAGGAGACCGTGAGTTCTTGTCCTGCCTTAGGCATGAAAGCCAGCTGGGTGACTTAGGACCAGCCCCTCTCTCTCAGCCAACTCACCTCACAGGGTTATTATTGTGAAGAAAGGAGGAAGAAGGAGTATTAGGTATGTTTGCTGCCTTGAGTTATCTATAAAAATAAGAAAGGTGGGATAAAAAATCTAAAAAAAGAAAAAATCACTTTTGAGATTCTTTTATGTTAAATTCACTACACTGGCAATTTGCAGCATTTACTGAGAAGCCTGAGAGGAGATACAGCAAGATCAAGAAGCAGTTAAAAACCAAGAAGCTAAGCTGGAAACAAATGAGAAATTAACTGCAGCTTTAACTGCTTGAGACATAACAATAACTAAAGTGTTGTAGAAGTTCAGATTTCCTAGATAATATATTATCGTAAAACTTTTCATTTCATTTCAAGGAATGTTAAAAGAGAATGTCCAGAACATTTGGAGGGGATCTGATGAGCAACTTAATAACAAGATAAAATGCTTGATCTTCAAGACAAAAGTCATCGCCAGTTTTGCCTGTCACGTTAGATAGAGGGACAGATATTTAAGTCTTGCATTCAGTATCTCCATATTGTTAAGCCTTAATTATGCATTTGAAATACCTTTTTTAAAAAAATCTAAAAACTACTAGAAAGCATGGTTCAGGAAAGAGATGAAGGTCAGTGATGATAAAACCAAGCACTGTCTGCAAGAGAGACTGTGTGAGGGAAATAAATAAATGAATCAATTTGAACTTCCAGGAACAACCAGGTAATGTAAAGGAACAAAATAAATTATAATTAGTGATGTCACTGTACATTTCTAGGACCAGACTTATCCAGACACTTACCAGAAATAATGCACAATAAATGCAATGGGGCTTAATTTTAGTAGGCACATGTAGGATTAAAGTGTCAGTATCCAATTTATATATTGCAATTCTACCACTGAGGGCAAACATTCTGGACCTACTCAAAAGTCTGATTCAAGTTTTGTTAGGGAAAAATATTGGAGTCTCAATACACAAATCTGAGAAGCTGAAGAGCTGCCAAGAAAATAATGAAAAGGAACAACTTTCTCTGCAGTGGTGAAATTTACTAGGAGCTTGAATCTCATTTGGCACTGAAGGGGACTTCTTTTGATTTGGGTTTAGATGCATATTATTTGGGTTTAAAACTGCAAGTAGCTGTCATGAATCTGCCTCCCACCACCTCTGAAGCAAGAACCTGCAAAGAATGGGACTTCTCCAAACTCACGGTAAAGGCAGAAAGAATGCTTATTAGTTTCCCACTGCTCTTTGCACCTGCGATGCAACCAATATTGACCATTTAAGATTAATAGTTGGATAACTAATTAATTACAAAAATGGGGGAAAGAAATAAATTCATGAGGGTGGAGATTAGGATTTTTATATAACTTTATATACAAGAAGTTTTCAAAAATCTGTAGATATTTTATGAATTTCTCTATGGATACCTAACACACATGAGAGAAAACAATAGAAAACTCCATGAAAATGTTGGGTGTTGGAATAAAAACGGAGGTTGAGTTATTTTGTATGTTTCCTTATGTAAAGGTAGCGTTGCTATATGTTTCTTAAAATTCACAGATGTCTTTCTATCTTTCATATAACATCCTTAAGAATGGAATTTTTATTATTATGCCAATCTGTGCCTATTGGTGACTAATTGATCACAGGGCTCATACCTTCAGAAGTGGTAGAACTCAAGATACATGTAGCCATACCTCCTTATCTCTTCCTGCTGTCAGCTTGGCTCAATTTCTATATCAAAGCTGTTATGCTGCATTTCTAGGAATGGGCCTGTAATGTTTTTATACTATGAAGGATACCCTGTGCTTGTGGTTCTCTTTTTCCCTTATCAGTTGCAAAGAAATTCTTTCCTTATCTGGGCTCTTCTGCTAGTGTGCAATCATGCACAATCTGTCTTTTATCACTTACTATATCAGATCTATGTCATTTTGTGACTCTTGCTCTGGTCCCTTCTGGTTGCCAGAGACCAGAAATTTACTGTAATCTGCCAGCTTTGGATTAATAAAATGATCATGTAGACCTTCTCCAGATCAGTGGTTTTTATCATGACAGAAATAAAAGAACAAGATCAAACCATCACTAATCAAAGTAAAACAGAACATGAATAAAAAAAAAATGATGAAGCAGACAAAGAATGAAGTAACTAAGACAAAGTTAATACCAGAGAAATTTGAAAAATAGAACTATAGAAATACAGTGCTGTATCAAGGAACCAATGGGTCAATCTTTCCATGAACACTCTTTTACACTTAGCTATGCCCACCTGGAGATATAATTTCATAGGATGAGCATGTTTGCATGCTCATGAAAGTTATGTGAAGCAAATGGATTTCTGCCAAATGCAAATAATATTATGCATTGTTAGCAACTGTGAATCAGAGTGCTATTCACCTTCAGCAATATGGCTCTCCAGGAAAGGACATACTGTTATGGTTCTGAATGGAAGTTCAAGAGTAAAAACTAAATTTGATCAGTCAGGTAATTAAAATTCATAATAACAGATGTTCCAAAACTTCCTTTCCATTTATCGCTGTTTCCTTAGTAAGTTCTGGTGAAGCTATGTTGTCATGGAATTGTTAGCTTTGTATTCACACTTACCATTCTTGGACAAAATGACAGCCAGATAGTCATGAGAAGAGGCATTGATGTAAAATAGAAGGCTCGGAGCGTGTGCTGTCAGGAAAGTAAAAGCAATGTTTTCCTTGGACGTGGATGTATCCGCATAAATGGCAGACGATGTAGAGCTTGCATTTTTAGTTACAGGATAAGGTTCCTGGAATGCGTAGGTAATGGAAGTGCCTGCTTCAAAAACTGCAGAGACTTCTAAAAATACAAAGAAAATGCACACATCAAGGAAAAAAAAAATCAGATTCAGAACAGTAGATTGAAAACTACTGGAGTTGTAGAAGTTGGATTTTTAGAATCAACAAAACAGTTTCATTTTTGTGTGTGGATAGTGTGAATATCATATGAACAAAGGATGTCCAAATCTTTCCATAGAAGGATCTTTATGAATATTCCCCTTATTTTCAATTTGGATGTAAAATCAGATAATCTAAATATATTCCTTCCCAAAGAAAGTATGATATTGAACCAGACAACCTTCTGCCGGCTTGAAGCATTATACTGAACATGCAGTGTAGCACTGCTTCTCTATTGGCTGTACAGATTGGCTGTACCATTGACTGTACAGATAGGCATGGAGCCAAATGAGATTGAAACACATGAAGGATGATGGACTGTGGACTCACTGAAGGAAATGAGTCAGTACAAAGTTCAGAGGTGAGTTCTTAGATGAGGACAAACTCCCAGCAGGTTGTGGTTTTCAGTGAAAGTGTATAAATATATTGCCTAGGAGGTGTCACTGTTTGGAATACTGAGAAATAGCAGCAACATTTTCAAATATTTAAAAGTTGTATAAAATATTCATTGGCAACAGTCAAGGAAATAATAGAATTGATCTTGGCATGCTGTTTGCTTTTCAGAAGACTCTACCTTGATTCACGCTTTCTTGATTTCTCAGTGACAATGGGTGTGAAAAGTCAAGAAAATATCTATCAGTGTGACTTATTTTAGTAATTTTTTTTAAAAAAGTAAATAAGCCATGTTGGCTAGAAGAAAAATGCAAAAACTGACTTTAGAAGATCACAAAAATATACAAGTTTTTGAAATCTTCAGATCTCTTCACCAAGCAAGACAATTCTCTCTCCCCAATAGGAAAGTAAGTTTGGGGGAGACTGAGAAAGGAAGGGTGGCTGAAATCTGCCTGGTCAGAGAAGCAGCCTTTCAAATCAAACTCCACTTCATGAGGTAATGTTTAGTTTGTAACCAGGATTAAGTCGTTTGTATAAAGAAGAAAGCAATGATCGTTCCTTATTTCTGAACATATGAAACCCATTTAGGCTCATTTATATGAATGAATGCTTCAAGAGTAAAAATTAAATTTACCATGCCTATTCTTCAATGGGATTTGCACATTTTATGTGATGTCCTTCCAACCATTTTAAGTAATCAAAGATAACTTGTTTTCAGTGGGGCACTGCCAGTTTGCAAAAGGCAGTAACAATTAGGACTGAAGTGCTTAAACAGGTCCTGGCTATCATTTTAAAGAAGAGGTGGATTATGGAGGATCATTAGGATTTCCCACCCCACCTAAAACCCCAAGTTCTTTTCTCTCACTCCATGCAAAAGCAATATCTATAGAGGTATGACTAGGGCACATTGTCTTCATTCCTATGAACACCATTTTCCCTTTTTCCCTCAGATGATGATCTCAGTGCATGAGCATATAATTGCAGGGATAAGTACGCCAAGGATTAATAAATTCCCAAGCCATGGAAAGTTTAAAAATAAGCTCCACAGGAAGTATAAAAATATAAATCATCAGGGACTTCCACTAGTTTTTTGCTGGTTTGTTCATTGAGTTTCCAAAGAAAGAACAGTCCTGACAATTAAAAATAGTTTCATATTCTGGAGGAGATGACCCCATTCCAGGTTTCAGTTTATTTCTTTACATCCAGATTACTAATCTCCACACGTGCATCTCTGAAATCAGGTGCACTATTATTATTTGGGCAGAATCTAGTAGGCTTCCGAACAAAGGCAGAGAGAGAGGGAGAGAGCACCAATGATACACGAGTTAAAGAGCACTTAATCTGAAGCCAAGCTGCATCCTAGCACCATTGGGATTGAAAGAGTTTCTTCTGCATGTGAAAAGCAGTATGACTAAGACCAATCAGGCACCCGCTTTATAGTGGTATCCTCAATTAGTCCTCTAGAGGTGGGAGGCAGATTGCTGATCCAGTGTCTTTACTGGCATGACATCAAAAATTGCTTCAGCTGAAAGGATGGATGGTTGCAGCCTCAGTGCCTACTGGCACAGAGCTAGAGTTCTGTAGACATCAGCAACCCTGCCAGCCAGCCAATATGCCAGCCTGCCAGAGGAGAAACAAAATAGAATTCCCAAATTCCCAAGGGAAGCAGGGAAATAAAGAGGGAGAGAAAAGCTGGGACACCTTCTCACCCAAAAGGTAGTTTCAGCAAAGCATAGGAAGAGACCCAGAACAGATGGGTGGGGGAGGGGGAAGGTGGAGAGCACCTAACCTATTCCCCTGAAAGGCCATTTCTGTTTAAAAAAAAAATGGAAACCATAAACTTTGGACAACTATACAGCCAATTCCAAACTAAATAGTTATATTGAATGTTTAATTATGTAAAATTTGCTGAGAATCTAGATAATTTAAATGATTAGAAAGTGACACTAAAAATCAACCCAATAATAGTTTCCAACTAATTACTTTGTATAGCACATTTTGGTCAAGGTGCACTGGATGAGCAAAAAGAAAGTTAGGATCCATTCAGCCATCCTACCTTCTCTGCAGAATGGTCCCTCATATGGTGAATTGGTGCAATCACACAAGTAGCCATTGAGTTTCTCCACACATTTGCCTCCATTGTGGCAAAGGTTACCATAACTGCTGCAATGCCCTGGACATCCTGGTTTGACACCAGGAGTCACTTTGGCTCGCTCTTCAAGGTCAAGTTTCTGTCCATTTAGATGAAGAGAGCGAATACATCCCATAAAACCTTTCTGTTTGGATGCAGTTGCCCCTGTTTAAGGCAGAAATAAAATAAAGTTTATATTGGAACCCCTGACCATTTAGCAAATGAAATTCTTATTAAAGATTTAGTGTACAATATTGTACAATGTATTTCCCATTGATTCCATATTAATGTACTGGGAGGGGGGTTGTTAATGGAACATGTAATCTTGATCTCATTTATCAATCTGGTTGTCATTTCTGCAATCTAGGGAGAGTCTAATATGCAATGATAGTGTAAGTGGAGGTAACAGCTGGAATGAAGTTAATGACCTAAAATATAATACTAATATAATAATAAGAATGGGCTTTGGAGATTTGTACTTAGACTTACATACTTGAAAAGTAAATAGTCCACACTTACTCTGGATGCAAGACTCATTCAGAAACTGTGGAAGGAACATTTGTCATCTTTACCACATTCAACACAAGAAGATGCAAAAGACCTTAAGCATAGTCAATGAATGGCACTTTCAGCTCAACTCATAACAATTAGCTGTAGCATATTCAGGAAAGGGCACCATCATTCCTTAAAATATTTTTTTCTCTTTATGCAAACTCTTAACCTGGCTGATCCTTATAGAAGGAGCCATTATCACTACAAATTTAATCATACCTTGTTTTACAACTGCAGGTATTCTTTTAAAAAATCAGATTTTAAGAACATAGCTCAAAGCCTGCACTGTTTTTTATAAAGTTTGGCATGCTTCATTCCTACAGTACTTAAATATCTAATTTGCCTGCACATTTAATTACAGCATAAACTGTCCTAAAACAACATATTGGTAAATGTTATTTTTAAAAATCTGATTTAGAAGCAATATAGCTCAAAATCTCCTGCATTGATTTCTATAAAACGTGATATGCTTTGTCCCCAAATACATTTTTAACTTGTCGGCAAATGTCATCCGGTTCTGCTAAAAACAAAATAAAAATTTTACAACCATTTGTATTTCTTCTGCTTTCAAAATCGATTTATTTTTCTGAAACTTGCTCAGGACATGAAGTTGGATCAAATTACCTCCAGACTGGCCTTTTCTGAAACTCTAGACTGGTTCTCAGAACCAGACTGAGAAACCTCTGCACATCCTTATTCTCTATCCGATGTCAAGCTTTAACCTACTGCAGAAGTATTTTAACAATCTTTGTGTAATAAATCATGAATCTTTGAAAACAAGTGGAGAATTTCAAGACCTCCTTCCCTTGATCACATGTAAATAATTTGTTTTCTTATTTTGCAGATGACACAAAATAAACAAACAAACAAAAACAAGAACCAGAATAAAAAAGGTCCAATAACAAGATAGTAGGTAGATACTGGGGGCAAGGGGGAGACAAAAGAGAGAGGTGAAGATATGTTAAAAGAGATTTCTTGCCTTCTTGATAACTGTAAACATCCGTATTAAAT